TCAAAGGGTTGGGGGCAGGGAGGAGGTACCTGTGTCACCCATGGAGGTGGAGACAAGACACCAGCCTTGTCACCTCAGGGCCAGCACAAGCTATCTCCTCGTCACCAAAACATGTCACCTGTGAAGACGGAGCCAAGAGATGGACCCCTTCATCACCAAAATGTGTCACTCACAGAGGTGGAGCCAAGAAACGGGCCCCTTCAGCACCAAAATGTGTCACCCGTGGAGGTGAACCCCAAAGATCAGACACCTCCTTGTCACCTCATCACCATCAATGTGTCACCCGTGGAGATGGAGCCAAAAAACAGGCCACTTCATCGCCAAAATGTGTCACCCATGGAGGTGGACTCTAAGGATCAGCCACCTTCTTGTCACCTCATCACCATCACAAGCCACTTTCTTGTCACCTAAGGTCCCAGAGACCTGCCACCTCCTTGTCACCACAACATGTCACCTGTAGAGATGGACCCCAGAGATGAAACACCTCCTTGTCACCTCATGGCCATCGTGTCACTCCTGAAGACTGACCCCAAGGAGAGGGGAAGGGAACCACCACTGCTGCCACCACTGGAACAGAGGGGACCCCACCACCTCCCTCCCCACAGCCACAGCCCCAGGGGGGTGTCTGGGCCCCAAATGCCACCCCAAAGCCCAGACCTTGTAGAGCTCCTCGTCGAACTGGCTGAGCTGGGCCACCTCCTGCATGACCTCCTTGCGCATGAAGAAGGGGGTGTAGACCGGGGTGTAGCCCCGGGCCCGCAGGCTCTGCAGGGCGTACTGGATCAGGGCCTGCTCCAGGAACACCAAGGGACCCTGGGGACATGGGGGGACACCACCCGTCACGCTCACGCCATGCTGGGCCATCCACCCTGCTCAGCAGATCCCACGGAGCTGCTCCAGCTCTCGGGCCCAGCATCGTCCCAGGTGGGGACGGATCCAGAGGCACCACCCGGGCCAGGGTCCATCCCACACCACCCCCACGGGGGCTGCCATCATCCCAGGGATGGATCCAGAGACATCCCACACCACCCCCACGGGGGCTGCCATCATCCCAGGGATGGATCCAGAGACATCCCACGCCACCCCCACGGGGGCTCCCATCATCCCAGGGATGGATCCAGAGGTACCACCTGGGCCACAGTCCATCCCACACCACCACTCCCACCGTCCCACTCGGCAGAGGAGAAACCAAGACCCCCATTCCCCCTCATCCCCCCCGGATCCCAACCATTCCACGCCCCCGTGGGGGTCCCAGCCCTCACCTTCAGGAAGTAGCCGCGGCTCCCGGCCACCACAACCCCCTTCTCGCCCTCAAAGCCATCCACCATCACCACCAGGTCCACGTGGGAATACTTCTTCCTGCAGCTACAGTCACCCCACACCCGCTCCACCTTGTTGTCCACATCCTGCATGAAGACAGCAGAATTTGGGGCCCATCACCCAGTGCCCCATAACACCCCGAATTCCCAAGGACCACCACAGGGATAGTAAGTACAGCCCGAATTCCCGCCAGGGACCCCGTGGTGACAGTGGGTGCCCCCAGATTCCTGCTGGAACCCCATGGTGAGCCTGAATACACCATGAAATCCCTCCTGGGACCCCACAGTGGCACCTGGCACCCCCCATATTCCCACCTGAACATCCCAGTGACCCCTGGGCCCAGTGGTCGTTACAAATATGACATATTACAAATGTTACATTACAAATATTACAGATGTTACAGTCTGGGCCCAGTTTGGGAGCCCAGACCCCCCTGCCTGACCCTGGCCCAGAGGAGAGGATTTGGGTTCCATCACCCCATCACACCCCCACACCAGTCCCTGCACTGCACTGGGACCAGTGGTCAATACAAACATTACATATTACGAATATTGTATACCTGTAAAATGTAATATATGTAAATATTACACATATTACATATTACAAGTATTGTATATTACACATATTACAAATATATAACTGTAAAATGTAAAATATGTAAATATTACACATATTACATATTAGAAATATTACATATTACATGTATTACAAATATTACATATCTGTAAAATGTAATATTTTAATATGTAATATTAAAATATGTAATATATGTAAATACTACCCCTATTACATCTTAAAAATATTAAATATTAAGCATATTACATATTACAAATATTACAAATGCTACAATCTGGGCCCAGTTTGGGAGCCCAGACTCCCCAGACCGACCCCAGCCCGGAAAGGAGGATTTGGGGCCCCTGACCCCATCACCCCCCAGCCCAGTCCCTGCACTGCACTGGGCCCAGTTCCTGCACTGCACTGGGCCCAGTTTGGGAGCCCAGCCTGCCCAGGCTGACCCTGGTTAGGAGGCCCGTTGGCACAGGGCCCGAGGTGTTCCCTGGCCAAACATTCCCGGGATGAATGGAGGCAGCGGAGGGGAGAGCCAGCCCCCCCTCGGGAGGAGCCTTTCCCATGGATTCTCCCGACAAAGGGGTGCCTGGTGCTGTCTGAGCCGCCCTTTGTGTGCTCCTGGCGGGACTCTGTGCCGGCTGCTCCGGCCTGGGGGGAATCCCCCTGGAG